AAACCTTCGGATAGCTGGCCGGAAAAGAGGAGCTGTCTGAGTGCAATATATAGTTATTTGGTACGTGGCATCGTTGGTAGAAACTACGTTGAGTTTCTGGAAGTGGAGGGGGGCAATGCTTGGAGTTTCTGACATTACATGATTGAAGATGATTCAAGTAAAGGTGAGCCTAACTATTAAGTTGCCTGGTCACAGGAAGTGGACGCTTCAATTGTGCTGCTGGACTCAAGCTCAAGCACTCACACCATGTGGGAACAATGTGCGTAGGGCTAGAGCGGACTGACAAAGCAACCCAAATCCAAGCCAGAGGTACTGAAAACAAGCCTCTCCCTTCTCGCAAACCTGCAGATCAGATCAAAACCTTCTTGACACCTCAGTCAGAGAACCCAGAAAACACGAGCACCACACCGATGACCTGAACCCCTGATGTTCACTTGCCGCCCCACACATCCTGCGCCAGAGGAAGCACCTCCACCCGCGCCGCCTGCAGAGACGGAGGAGGAGGCGGACTCGTTGCGCCGAAGGACTTGGAAGCGGTTGCCCGTCGGGGAGGCCCAAAGGGAGGAAGCAATGCCGTAGGGGGACCAATGGCTTTGGGTGAGCTTCTTGATCCGAATTTTGACCCAGAGATAATCTTGACCTAAAATTTTGTTAATCTACAAGCTTGTTGGGACCCATGCATGGCTTTGGCCAAGGATTTTGCTTGACCTATCTAATAATGGGGCTGCACTCAGACGGGAGTGAGCCTGGAAGGTTGGTGTTCCGACTTCCATGTTGTTTCTGGAGGGTGGCTGGGTTGGAGATGTTGTGTTCTCTTTCTGGCATATGAACAGAGTTTGGCCGCGAGCTTTGACAAAACTCCTGGCCAGCAGTAGGGGGCCAAGGTTGGTGGCAGAATGCACCTGGAGTGGAGTTTCAAGGGAGCCAGTGCTACATTTTTGATCTCAGTTCATGTCAGAGTTTCCGGGTGTTTAGCCTGTCCACGTGACAGAGACAATCTTCCTGAAGTTGAGGAGGGTTCACCCCCCTATGGATTTGAGTGACAGGGCTGGAAAGATGGTAGGCTCAGGTCCAATCCTTTTGACCACACTGAGGACCGCCCACTGGAAGAGGACCGAGTCGCCCGCACTTCGAAGCCAGATCTGCCGAGAAAGCGGCGGGGTAAGACAAGATAGAGAAAGCGAAATCACTTCCTTTGACGCGGCATTGTATGTCCGACAGGCTGTTTCTCCAAAGTCTGACCAGTCTACACTCCAGCCGACTGTGAAAACAGGCCCTGGAGAAATGGTTTAATGTGGACTCTTGATGAATAACCCCACCATTTGAATTGGAAAATCCTCTTCATATGGGGGGTTTATTAATCAAGAGTCTACATTAGGGATGGTTTGCAGTTCGAAAAACCGCCCTTGCAGTCTGCCAGGAGCCGGCAGAGCAGAGCTCTCGTGTGGCTCCCCAGTGGCCGCCAGCCAGATGCCATCCACTTCCAGTGATTTCCGTTAAGCCAGTTCCGCAGATACTGCATAATATTTGGGTATAGGAGTGGTGAGTGCCCTTAAAGGTAGAGTTCCACCAAAAATCCATGGGCTTCCGTGGTCCAATTTTGGCCAGTTTCTAAGGCCAACGGTTTCGAAAGACGGAAGCTGAAACCCTCCAGTCCGCGAAGGCTTGGTCCGGCGCCGGACGGAAGCCCTGGGTTGTCGGACTGGAAGCGGTACAGATGCACCTCAAAGAGCTTCGATCAAGACTCAAGACACTGGGTGTTTGTTTGGGGTTAATCCCCGGAATGACTCAAGACACCGGGGGGAGGCGGGGAGAGGATAGGAGCCTTTTTCACGTCGAAAGCCAGCGTGCCAAAAAAAGGTCGCGGCGATTCCTGAAAGCCAACGGAATAGACGCCACTTTGTCTCACTCTGCATCCCTTTGTTTCACCCCTTGACTTCTGCGGGGGGAGAAAAAAAAAGACCCGAACGCCATGGAAAACATACCAAAATCATGAAAAGCAACGGGTGTTCTGCACCCTTTCACTTCAGAACCACTCTCTCCGGCTTCTGGCGATTCCTGTGTTGGCATCCTATACGGCCCTTGCCACGTCTTAGAGCCCGGCAAGGCAGAAGTGTCCGAGCTGAAACCCAGGCCAGGGGCAGGTAGAACACACTGGTGTGTGAGTAGTGTTTTGGCAGATTCGCCATTGCTAAACGTTTTTGAACTGCAACCGGAAGTCTGGGCGACGTTGAGAAGAGGTTGCCGACTTCTTCTCCTGGGACTTTGAAGAAAGTCAGAGAAACGGTTATATAGGTGTAACATGGTGTAACAAAGCCTATCGCAAAGCCAGAGCTGAAACCTGACAGTCTTCAACACAAAAACACAAAGAAGAGCCAGTGGGACAGAAGTTAGTGGGATATACTATTACTGTATGTTTTGTTTCAGTTTCCTCAAGCGGTTTTATATCTACACAGACCTCGACCTGGCTACACGCGATCAAAGCATCACCGTGAGACCTTCGGCCGACGAAGATCCCAGGACCGTGAAGATCTCGAAGATCCCCGGCAACGTCTCACTGAAGCATTTGCAGGACTCCGTTGGCCAGCCGGGGGGGACCTCAAAACCTTTGCTGCCTGTTTTTTGTGTTTCTTCTGCCCACTGATTTGTAGGGGTAACAAGGTCATTCAAGGGATCATTCCAGGGAGTGTATTTGCGGTGTTTGGGGACCGGAGAAGGGAGAGAATTTGCGAGAAGCATTGCTGTTTGCAAGAACATGGTGGCGTTTGCATTAATGAGGGGCTGTGTCAAGAAGGAAACGGTTTGGCAGAGAGGGCCTCCGAAGGTGATGAAATTGAACTCGATGTCTTGCGCTGCTTCGTTCGGTGTCCCAAACGATTAGGTGGAGAAAAGGCCGAAGGAGTTTCTTTTCAGTGGTGTTGTCTTGTGCGTATCAGACAAGTTTTGCAGAAGGAAGATGAAGGAAGAAGAGAACAATTAGAATTGGATGGATGTCCAAAACTTCTGGACCTTTCCTCTGCTTTAGAATCTTCAGATGGCTTTGGCACCCTCCCGAGGCACTCCAATTGGATCCCCCAGCATCATCCCAGCCCCTGTGAGGAGCTCTTTGCGGGCGTGGGGGAGGCCGCCAGCCGGGCAGGGTGGTGCTCGCCGTTCTTGAAGGATAGCCTCGATTCCCATAGAAGCCTTTCTTTGAAGTTATGTTCTCATTGTTGGGAACTAACTTCAAACTATAGCCATCATATAGCCAGCGCCTTCGAACTTCCAAGTTGTGTTCTCATTGGTCTTTTTGAAGCTTTAGATGGTCAAGCCACGGTCTTTTTGAGATCCTGGGAGTTGTACCGTGTGGAGCTTCGATGGTCAAGGATTCTACCTGACATCCAAGACTTGGCACATGTGCCTTTTTCACAGCTTCGGAGGTGAAGAGTGGCTTCATGGGCCAGTGCAGCACTGAGAAGACGACCCGGTGCGGGTGTTTCAGCTCTCAGTGTTCCAGCTATGGTATTTCTATGTTGCTTCTCTCATGTGCCAGCACGTTCCAGCCGAAGTTCTCGGCCTCGTGTGGCCGGTGGAATTCCAGACCGATCGGTACAGCTCCCTATACGATCGCTCGGATGGGTGGGTCATGTGGGGGGCTCCAGGTGGGTTTGGACCCATCCTCCCCTGTGACCCGGTCTCGGACGCCTCCCAGGCGCGGCGAATCCGCGCTGTTGACCTTCCACAGCGCACAGCATGCGGCGCAGGACCGGGGCGACCCGTCTGTCCTCGGAGGTGAACAGAACCTGGTTCTATGTGGCTCAGATGGGCTATAGTAGGCTATAGATGCTATAGAAGTAGAGGACCAAACGTCTATGGCCAGTAGAGCCCTCCAAAGTCTGGACAAAAACACAAATAGGGCTGGAAAATGACCAAAAGACTTAGAAGGAACCCTTCTGGACCAATTCCTTTTTTCCCTGTCCTTTTCTCTCGACTGATTTGGATTCTTAGGGGTTCTGCAGATGACGGATGGACTCCACCTCCTCCACACCAGGCCGCCGAGCTCTTCAGCCAGGGGACGCTGGATGGCCAGACCATCGAGGTGGATGGTGATGGGGCATGGCGGGTGGCGGTGCTCGGGGGCGGTGGGAGGACAGGAAGGTTGGTGGAAGAAGAAGAGCAACCAGTGGGTGGAGTCACCCTGACGGATCTTAGATCCAGTGGGTGGTTGAAGGTCTTCAAAGGTCTTCAATGTTTGAGGTCCTAATGGCCGTGTTACCTTTTTGATCGGATGGAGGCACTCCAAAAGCCCGACAATGGGTGAATATTTTAGTTGCCTAAAAATATCGAACCACACCACCTCATGAATTATTGGGGATGGTCAGGTCCAACGCATATCATGTTCCAACCCTTGTCAATGTGGTGGCAAAGCGATCCAACGTCCCGTCTGGTCTCATCGAATGAGCCGAGCCCTCCCTTCACTCAGGTGGAGCATATGAAGCCTGAGATGGGAGTCCCAACTGCCGAAAGAAAATCGGATGTTGTGCGGTCCCTTTTTGTGATTTTTTGGGGGAAGTGAAGGGGTTCAGAGGCAAGGTTTGGGTCTACATAGACTTCATCTAGGTCCATGCTGTGGTGAGAACACTTAAGTGTTTTCTGAGCTCATGTAGGCACGAGACAGACTGGAAAACACCGCGGGCTTTGGTTCAGCAGCGGGGATTGGTGATGGGGTAGGGCATCACACATGGCCGGTAGCTCAACACTGCCCTTCAACATGGAGGGAGAGCAAGAGTGCAGTAGTGCTTCGGAGGCCGGATGAGACATGTTGAAGAACCGAGTCTAGCTGCTAACTCATCCTTAGGAGGGAGACAAGAAGTGGGGGGTTGTGCGGGTTTCTGTTTGAGGAGGAGCCACGGAGCTCCCCATAAATGACCAACCTGTTTTTGGAGTGCTGAGAGGAGGCCCGTCCATCATAGGCCGGAGAGCGTCGGGCTTCTCACATCAAGGGCTCTCTAACTTAGGTTTAGTTCATGCAACCGAGATGCACTCGATACCTCAATTGTGGTATAATACCAGAGGCATGCACAAAAGGTCGTTAGATATAGCCATAGCAGTAGCCATATATAGCGGCTAGGTAGATGACACCCTTTCTTGTTTCAAGAACTCTGAGAGGGCGGCCCCCCCAAACATCACCCTTCCAACCCATCAACCCCTTCCCAAAGCCGCCGCTCCGCTAGGCCTCGGAGTTCCTTTGGCTCCTCCAGTCCGAGCTCCAGGGTCACTTCACCCAGCTCACGCTGCAGCTGCGCACCCTCGTCGCGCAGGAAGTCGAGCGCGGCCTCCGCGCCGCGGCGCGGCCGCGCGCCTCGCAGGGCTCGCAGGGCTCGCAGGGCTCGGACGGGCGGGGCCTCAGGTCCTCCAGGTCGTCGGACGCGCTGCCGGGCATGCCGGACCTGGAGGAGAGCCCATCCTCCCAGCTGTGCTGGGAGGAGACGCCGGAGGAGAAGCCCGACCCCCCTGAGCGCACTGAGCGGCGTTCCGTGGAAGGCCGGCGGGTGATGTTCCAATCGAAGACCGTGGATCTTCGACACAGCCTGCTGCACCAGATCGCTGAGTTGGAGACACAGTCCAGAGCCCCGCTGAATCGGAAGTTGAGGACGTGCCGATCCACAACGGGGTGGTTTCACACAAGTGCCGGTCAAGAATTCAAGTATTCCATATTGACCTTTCGACGTCCCAAGCGTGTCCAGAGTTTATAACCCCTGCATTTCTTCAGACCCTTGGTGTTTGCGGTCCCCCCACCTCTCCAAACCCCTGGTTCCTCGTCTCATGCGTCCCTCCTCGTCACGCGAGGAAGTCGGTGACGAGGATTCTCACCACGGCCTTAGCTCCGCCGTTGCACCGGCAAAGCACTTGGGCCAGCGAAGAGATGCCGCAGACGCGGCTCGCCGAGGTGCAACTGTATTTCCAGCAGAGAGTGGTAGAGACAACGGCCTTTGAGAGCGTGGTGATCTTCATGATTTGTTTGACCCTTGGGCCAGCAACTCTTCCCTGGTCCCATTAATTCACACGATCAGGAATTAGGGATCCAGAAAGGTGACACCCGCCAATCATGTGTGGTTTGCCCGCCCATCATTTGGAGACATACCTAATCCGGTGGTGGTGTAGTAGGGGGATTTCATGGAGGTCGCGGAGGGCCAGGCAAGGAAGGTTTGTGTGCTTGCTTTTGTTTGGTCTTCAAGGTGGAATAACATGGAATAATTATGATCAATTTCCTATACTACTGGTAAGGGATAGGTTCGGGATTTATGCATCAATTTGTAAGACATCGACTTTGGACATTCACGGGTAGGCACTAACGTTGCACAGTTATATGCCAGTACACTGTGCATCCGTCACTCCCTCTGCTTGCTTGCGTTCTTGCAAAGCCGACCGCCCCAGGAACACAGTGATGATCGGCGTGAACTGCGATTGGAACCTCACACACCTCAACTTAGCTGAGCCTGAATACTTTCAGATCGTCGAGCGCTTCTTTGCGGGCGTTTTTGCCTTGGAGCTTCTCCTTCGTATTTTCGCCTATGGTCGGAGGTTCTTTTTCGGACGCTCAGAACCCTACCTGCAAGTCATCTGACCTGGCCCTTGAAGTCAACATCAAACAAGTAGAGGAAGACGCAGGTGTCGAAACCGAGCGATGCGGGCAACACAAATTGAGTTCATGTTGCCCACAGGTTTGGAAGTTTGGGGTGTACACAGGAAACACGCAGCGGGTCCCCAACTCTGCCACATGGCTGAATCGTCTTCCTGCGGCTTTTGTTTGGGCAGAGCCGAAATGTCGTCGCTGAGGATTGGCAATGGAATTGGTTTGATTTGATCATCGTCAGTTTCCAGATTGTGGAGGAGGTCTCGACGATCGTGACGCTTGTCCTGGTATTTTTGCTCCGGGCTAACCACATGGCACATATCACATGGCACGTGGGCTTTGTGGTATGTTATGTGTTTTTCTTTCTACTATCTTTTCCATGCTTCCCTGGGACAGAGCTATAGTGGCATGGTGACCCATAGGCCGCATTCGTCCATAGTGCGTGTCTTGTCACCCCCGAGACGAAAGCATGGACCATGTCACAGCCAGGTGATTCGAAGATATCTGAAGATATTGGGAGGAGGGTCATGTTCACATACTACTAGAGTGTGACTGTGTTTCCTCCTGCTTCCTGACACCTACCAACACTCCTGCAGACTTAAGGAAGTCAAATGATGGTGAGATTCATTTGAGCTCATCCACCACTGCCATCCGCATCATCCGAATGCAACCCGACAGCAAGCAGCAACGACTGATCGGAGAGCGGAGCGAGTGGGTCCGACAATGTTGCACAGAATGCAGGCCGCTTTTGTCTACCGATTTTAATCCATCTTAATCCGACCTGCAGTATCAACTTCTGATCATTCATTGACATTGATCATTGATCACAAACTGTTGAAAGGTTCCCCTCTCATCTCCCGTCGCCGCCCATCCAAATATCTTGAAATTCTAGGTTCTTTTTGTTGGTTGCATGGCTTCGTGTACCAGCACATCACAGTTTTTGATGTTCAATTGTGAGGCGACGGACTCCAAGCCGGCCCTAAAAACCATCCCGGCTTCCCCCCCCCCCAACCGGTCGGCAGGCTTTTCTGCGGCGCCCACTCCACCCTTCTCCACGCACCGCACGCACCAGAAAGCCCGCCTCTCCCTGACAGCCCTGACCGCCACAGGTTCCGGCTCCTACGTATCCTGCGCATCGTTCGCCTCCTTCGCTTCATCCAGGCGGTTGGCGGATCAGCGCCGTCGGCGTTTGGGGTGTCGGAAGAGGGCCTCCAAAGGCGTCGAAAGAAGTGATGATGAGTGGAACGATGACCCTCCGATGAAGACATTGACATGGAAGTGGAGAAAAAACAGATTATCAAGCAGAAAAGTCTAGAGAGATCTAGAGGCATTGGGGTCCAGAGAGGTGATGGTGGTGATGAAGTGAAGGTGGGTGTGAGTGAGTGTGGGTGAGAGGGAGTGTGAGTGTGAGTGAGAGTGGGAGACTGAGTGAGTGCGAGTGTGAGTGCGTGAGTGAGAGTGAGTAGTGGGTGAGAGTGAGTGAGAGTGAGTGTGAGTGAGACTGAAGGTGGGTGAGTGAGTGTGGGTGAGACTGAAGGTGGGTGAGTGAGTGTGGGTGAGAGTGAGTGTGAGAGTGAGAGTGTGAGTGAGAGTGAAGGTGGGTGCGAGTGAGTGTGGGTGAGAGTGAGTGTGAGTGAGAGTGCGAGAGTAGTGTGAGTGAAAGTGGGAGAGTGAGAGCGAGCATCCTGCCACGAAATCGGCACTTCGAGGTTCACCAAGTGCTGTGCCTGCGACGAAATCTGCACTTCGAGGTTCACCAACAAAATCTGCACTTCGAGGTTCACAAAATGCTGTGCTTGCCATGAAATCTGCACTTCGAGGTTCACCAAGTGCTGTGCCTGCCACGAAATCTGCACTTTCGAGGTTCACCAAGTGCTGCACCTGCCACGAAATCTGCACTTCGAGGTTCAGCGAGTGCTGTGCCTGCCACGAAATCTGCACGTCGAGGTCCACCAAGTGCTGTGCCTGCCACGAAATCTGCACTTCGAGGTTCACCGAGTGCTGCGCCTGCCACGAAATCTGCACTTCGAGGTTCACAAAGTGC